GAGGTTCCCATATAAACTAGAGGAGAACACACACACACACACACACACACACACACACACACACACACATACTCACTCACACGGGCACACAGAGCACAAGGGGAAAAAGACCTCCCTCTGATGACTGAATTCATGGTACCTGTGAGGATTTGAGCTCAGATGCAGATTCCCAGGCAGCACCCGCCAGACCCAGCACAGGAGCCACAGTGCAATCTGAGTCTGGGTGAGCATTGGCTCCTTTCTCTGCAGAAGACCAGAGCCTATGTTTCAAGGAGGACTGAGACTGAAAGCACCTCTGTACTGTCTGTCTGGTGTGGAGACTCACTGGAAACCAGTGGCTGCTTGTCTTAGGACCTCATGTTCTCCACAAACATCCTCCCTGGCACAGACAGACTGCGTTGGATGCAGTCTCTATGCTGTACTCGGATTAGTGCTCAGGGAGGCTTCCCGCTGGCTGGATCTGTGATCTCTGGTTCTTTGAGAAATACAGGTTCACAGGAGATACCCCAGGGCACAGTGCCCTTGGGGGCCTGGAGAAGTTTCCTTTGAAATGCTCCTGTTGGTCATGGAAGCAAACCTTGGAGGACTGTCTGAGGTCTTCTCAGGCACTGTTTCTTTCTGAGCTTCCTGAGAACCAAAAAATGAGTAATGTCACAAAGTAAACTTGTAAAATGTGTTGTATCAAGAGGATTAGCTTATTAGACATCAAAGGCTCTCATTAATTAAGGTTCTCATTAATTCCAGTGGATTCCCTCAGACTAGTGGGATAAATAGGTACACACACACACACACACACTCATGCACACATACACATGTACACACGCACACAGGCATGCACATGCCCAAGATTTTTTCCAGGAGATAACTCTGCCCTTGGTTCCTGTTTGTGAGGGTCTGAGATCCAGTGGGGATTCCTCATCACCACAAACCAGACTGAATGCACCAGCAACGATGCTCAGTATCTGTGGAGAGAATTTGAGTTGACGAGACACCGAACTATCTGTGGTTTTCCATCATAGTTGATGAACCAAATGTTTTTCTTCTGAAGATTCTGTTTGTATCTTCCCGGTGTGTCCAGTTTGGCCAGGACAGTCTGTATTTGAGTGTTTTATCTACTAATGATATTATTAGTGAGTGAAGCTTGAATTGAGCTGCATGGCTGACCTTAGGCTGTGAGAGAGAAAGAAAAATCCAAGTTCTGTGCTTCAGAGAAAGCCATATTTATGTGGTCTCCCATCCTGACTTCTGATGCAGACTTCAAATATAACACAAGTCCCTTATTTCACTCACATTAAGAGGCACCTTTTAGATGGGATAAAGTAAACAGGGTACTGCAAAAATCCCACAAGCACATGGAAACTGAATAACACACTCCTGAGCAATCAGTGGGTCACAGGGGAAATTAAAGAAGAAATTAAACAATACCTACAAGCAAATGAAAACACAAACACAACTTAACGGAATCTGTGGGACGCAGTGAAAGCTGTCCTCAGAGGAAAATGCATTGCACTGAGTTCCTACATCAGGAAAACAGAATGAATACAAAGAAACAACCTGATGCTACACCTCAAACAGCTAGAAAAAGAAGAGCAAGTCAAGCCCAAAGCCAAAAGAAGAGAGAAAATTATAAGAGTCATATTTTCAAAACTACATTTGGAAATTCAGTGGTTCCAAAGGTACACTTTTGCATAAGTAAAAAAGATACTTCCTATTTTTACCAATCTTTCCTCCAACAATCGTTACAATAACTGGTGTGCATTCAGTGGGACCACGAAAAATGGATAGTATAATCTAGAGATATATTTCACCTGCAAGATGTTTTGCATTTCGACTTTGTTTTGAAAACTCTCCTAGATCCACCAGTGCATTATTTTTCTACCCTAGTGTTTCATGACTTATTTGCTAACTTTGGAAGAGTTGACTGTAATTACAGTTAGACGCAGGAGATTTCTTCCAGCTTGTTGTCCCTTGCAATTATACCATGTGCTTTGACCCTATGTTCTTGAACTATCTGCAAGAATTTCAAACTGTGACAAACGTTTACTATGATTTTGAAACCAAAAACAGTACGCTATTGCATACATCTCAGCTATCATGCATATTCTGAAGATACTGCTCATAGCAAAAAATAAAACAGGCAGATGTTTGGTGGTACACAATATAAAAACCAGGGTAGAAATTGAATTGAAAGTTTAGCAATGATATTAAATACATAAATCAATTATATAAATGAAAGATGAATTTTTAATATCTTAATTTAGGTAGAAATGATTTACCACAAGTTTCCAATATTCAGTGAGAACAATCCATAACTTTTAGAGACGTATCCATAAGTTGAAATTTTTTCCCAGTAAGATTTTGGAAATGTCCAGTTCTTTCTTAAATATGATTTCCCCAACCCGTCTTATCTTTATTTTGGAAGAATTGGCTTGTGTGTTTTATGAAACTTGATTTACTTGTCATCTAAGAAATCATAACCATGTACCTGTAGTATTGTTAGTGGTTTATTAGTTGAGTATATTTCTTATATGCCTTTATGATGTGGTTAGAATACTTGAGTCTCATTCATCACTGTAGGGATATATTACTTTTGTAAAATCATTTAGATTATTCTTTCAAAAAGAAAGACTATTTAGCAACACTGAACCTTCAGTTAGACGTCTTCTAAAGAACAGAATTTCAATACTTTTGGATACTATAGAATTATTATGAGAACCCTTGGACCAAGACAATTAGAGAATCCTTCATTACAATCCAATTAATGTGAAAACATACCTTCTTCCAAAATCTTTTATAGCATTTATATATTACTTTCAACATGTATTTTTTTATTCATGGACGTTTGCAGTATATGATGATTGTGTTCTTGATGGGAATTAGATAAACATGAAAAAACTTCAAATTATTTCTCCTCTTCTCCATTCCTATTTCTCTATATATATTTTTTCCCCAAATTCCAGTTGTGTAATATGAACTTATCGGATGATAACATGTGTTATTTTGCATAAAACATTATCAACTGGTACTCAAGTGCTAGCCCATGAGGTTATTTTATTTATTTAACTATTATGAGGGCTTACTTAGAACAGGTCCATCCTGCATATACATTCGGCATATTCAACAATTTAATTCACTTTTTAAAAATTTTTCTACAAATATAGAAAACGATGTTTTTAGTATTATTTGATTTTAACGGGATGTATTTATCTGTGGATGCATGAAATTGCACTATAGTACTGGCTACAATAGGATGATAAATGTCTCAAAAATTAAAAAGCAGAGATTCTCACGCTGGTTCTGGTTCCGATACTGTACTATTTTCCGTGTTCCGGTGACACCCAGCATCATGTTCATATCTGTTTCCCTTTCTACCATCAGATGCAAATCAATTACATCTTAGCTTTACGAGTGTTCATTTAGAAGATATCTTTTACTACACAAATACCATATTCGGTTGACAGCACTTTGAAAATTAGCCATCTGTAAAATATTAAAATTTTGAGTATATTTTTAAGTTTGAAGTATGACCCTCGTCTCTGAGGAGCCGAGCTCAGTTGGAGATTTCTGGTTAGCAAAATCCAGACGCAACTCAAAAGCAAGCAGCAAAACATGCATCTTGTGGGGATGTCTTTCCATCTCTGCAGGAGCTCAGGACAATGGAATTAATGGAGAGGATTTGTATAAATGAGCATTGTACTGTCTTTCTGATTGGGCCTTGTAGTCATTAACGAACCAATTGTTTTTCTCTGATGATCATTTTTTAAAATTTTCCCCTTGCATCCTGCTTGGGAGAGATGGGCTGCATTTGACAGTGTTTTAATTTTCCTAAAGTGAGCAGTACCCAGTGAAGCTTAGCTCCAGATGGATAACTGACCTTTACCTACCACAGAGAACAACCCACTTCCAAAGTTTCAAGGACTGACAGTAACACCTTTTCTCCCCCACCGAGCCTCCTGAGGTGAGTGAATAACACAACCTGTTTCTCCAAATGCTAAGTCATTTCCCTAACATTAAAGGAGTGACCGTAGAGTTATTTGCTAAAAGGAAAAGTGGTACCCTCAATTTTTCCCCAAAGTTTTACTTCATGCATCATTAAAATCCCTTTTTATCAGTACAATAGTCTTCTGAGTTAAAGTCTGAAAATGAGTTTCAACAAAATGCATGTTTACTTTCCACCTTGTCAAGGAATAAGTCTCGGGTCCGCCAATCGTGTTTCTTTTGACAAATGCAGTCTCCAGCATTGCAAAATTGATCCTATCATATTAGAAATGGGGATTCTTCTGGGGGGACTCACTGATACTGCAGCCCAGGTGGATTCAGCTCATCACCGTGTGCTTTCTATAGGAAACCATCTCAAATTATGAAATCCGTTTGCAGTGATTTTCAGGCTACCATCACGCTGAGTGCTCCCCTCACTTGCCTATCAAACACCTTGAATACTGAGCTTATAGCAACAACGAAAACAAGGTGGACGCATGCTGAGCACGCCATCATTAGGGGAGAAACTGAGTCTACACACTCTGAATGACTTGGAAACTGTGATTCAGTTCTGTAATCGATCTGTAGGATGAGTTTTAAATTTTAGCACTGACCATATTTTATGCTCACAACTCATAATTTACAAAGATGTAGCCAAGATTAAAATATTTTTCTCCTCTCAGCATCCTTGAAATATTTAATTCCAAAATACCCTTTAACCCAGCCCCATATTACTATATTTCTGTGTTTTATGGAATCCTTGAAACTGTATTCTCAAGAAGTTTGCACGGTTGCAATCCTAGTGTATACGTAATTTTTATGCTATTACTCCTTTAATCTACTACTGCGATTCAGTTTTTATCTATCACCAAGTTGCTTTGTGTACAAGGACTAGATTTTAAACAATTATATATGGATAGATTTTTTTCTGCACATCTCCTGTTTTAAAAAAAACACTCAACATTCATATAGATGGCATTTAAAGAACTAGAAAATTTCTTTTCTTGGATGAATAATTACACATGACGCATTCTCATCAGGAAGAGTGCGTAATGGTTCTTTGTCATAAATGCTCAGTTGGTCCCTATTTGTTTTCCACAAACTTGACTTTTAAGTTCCTTGTCCATTTTTGCTGTACATAGCGAGCTCTTTATTTGTACATGTAGTTTTTCACACAAGGAAAATCACACGATATTTAACCTTGTGTATCTGACTTCTTTTACTTAAACTTATGGCTGCAAAGTGCACCCATTTTTCTTCAGTTGCTTAAAGTTAATGCTTTTAAGTTTAGAAAAGCACTCTGTTGTGCATAAACGCCATATATTCTATAGCCAATGTTCTGCTGATGGACATATGACCTGCTTGCAAGAGTTTATCACTATGATTTGGGTTGCTATAAAGATTAGAGTGCAGGTGCCATCATAATATGAAAGATATCATAGATTTAAAATGAAATTTATTATCTCATGCCTGCAGTGTATGTGCAGTAATTTTTCTAAAATATGTGCATGTTATCATTTATAGTAAAAAAAATCATGAGCAGAAAGAGAAAGAAAAAGAATGAGGAGCATGGGGAGATAGAAATGGAGAGAGAGGAGGAGATGGAGAAGGAGATGGAGTAGATGGAAGAGGAGATGGAGGAGGAGGAGATGGAGGAGGAGGAGGAGATGGAGGAGGAGATGGAGATGGAGGAGGAGATGGAGGAGGAGGAGATGGAGGAGAAGGAGATGGAGGAGGAGGTGGAGGAGGAGGAGATGGAGGAGGAGATGGAGGAGGAGGAGATGGAGGAGGAGGAGATGGAGGAGGAGGAGATGGAGAAGGAGGAAATAGAAGAGGAGATGGAGGAGGAGATGGAGGAGGAGGAGGAGATGGAGGAGGAGGAGCAGGAGATGGAGGAGGAGGAGATGGAGGAGGAGATGGAGGAGGAGGAGCAGGAGATGGAGGAGGAGGAGATGGAGGTGGAGATGGAGGAGGAGGAGATGGAGGGGGAGATGGAGGAGATGGAGGAGGAGGAGGAGTTGGAGGAGGAGGAGGAGAGGGAGGAGGAGGAGGAGAAGTTAGATGAGGAGGAGCAGATGGAGATGGAGAAGGTTAAGGTGATGGAGAAAAAGAGGATGAGAAGATAAATGAAGAAAAAGAGGAGGAGAAACATGAGGAAAAATGAAGAGGAAGAAGTGGAAGAGAAAGAGATAAAGAGAAAACAAGAATGTTTTAAAGAAAGAAAAGAAGTGAAGGAGAAATGCATAAAGAAGCGAGACCAAAGGTATAATTTTTATGAACTGAAACACACCACGTCTAACGTGTGTTTGAGGAGCCGAGTGCTGTGAGTGCTCCATCTGGTGTTTGCGGGTTTGTGTGTGGTTTTTGAGTCTCTAACGGGGCGCGAAATGTCATAGCTCTGTGTCTGTGTGGGCAGATGCAAAGGACAGCCTGCAGAGCACCAAGTCAGAGTAATTAGGATGCTCCAGGGGCAGGAGCCTTCTCCCCTAGAGCAGTGTAACTGTTATGCATCATATATTTACACTCAGTTAAAAAAAAACTAACAAAA